AATCGGTAACTCAGTGTTATATTGGTTCTGCCTATGTAACTATCCCCGCAGTTACACACGAATTGGTATACACAATGGGAGTTGGCGTCAATAGGCTGGGTATCCTTCAGTGGAGGCAACGGTGGCTTATGGGTTCGGTCAAGGAGTACAACTTCGGCAGCACAGAAAGTGCTCTGTGTGGCGGAAATCAGACGTCTTCTGGTCCTCAAAGACGCAATGTCAACCTTCATGCTCTTCACCAATATTCCGTTAGAAGGGACAGTAGACTATACATGTGACACCGTTCGAGACCATCAATTTCATGTGATCGATTGAAACAGCTACTCTTGCTGTGTACTAGTAACATGCAATTTCAGTTTAACGGGCAAAATGCAGACAAAATTTGGAGTAGCAAATGGCTCACTGCTTGGACCGATACTACCTGATGTGTTTATGAGCAAATCAGAGAATACCTATTTGAGCGGAGTCATTACGAGTCTACCATATTACGGACGATATGTGGATGATATATTTTGCGTGACAGACGGGAACTGTTGCCCAGAGACAAATGTACCCCATTTTAAATCGGCGCAACCATATGCCAAGTTCACGCAAGAAACTGAAGGCAATGACACGATGCCCTTCCTAGACGCTCAGCTTAGTAGGAGATTAGATGGATCGGTCCAACGGAGGGTGCGCAGAAACGCAAAGTGGAACGGACAATATATACATTTTGCTGGTTTTGCCCCATAAATCAGAAACGCAACTAGATTAAATGTCTAACCGAAAGGTCCAGAATGATTTGTAGGGAGGACACACTTGCGGACGAGCTCAGATTTTGAAGAGGCGTTCCGAGAGAAAGGGCTATCCATAAAATGTTGTTCGCAAATGTATGCAGAAAATGTATACAGAGAAATGAGAGCTAAACCATCTTCGGAGAAAAGGAAACCGATTTTTTGTCGATGCAGTTCAAGGGGGATTGTATAGCGCAGGCAACATCTAGAAGATTATCCGACACTATGAGCCATACCTACTACGCAGCGAGCTTGCGTCTAAGTTTTACTTCAACACCAATCATGAGGCCTCAACTCAAAGACAGATTTCCTTGGTCATGTACACCTCACGGTGTATATTCCTCCTCTTTTCCATGTCTAGCAAAATATATCGGAAGAATTAGTAGGAGGCTCTCTGATAGAATACGTGAGCATGGTCCAGCTAATCTACACAATGTTGGGAGAAAAACTATGATGAGCGCTGTGTTGGCACACTTGGTTGATTCTAATAACCAAATCGACACCCGCCAATCATTCCAACCCATTTACCATGTACCTAGACGGCTTTCACGAGCGGTAACATGTCGCTTACTAGCAACAGCTGAGGCAATTGCTATCCTCCACCAGAACCAAGACTTATGCGCTCAAAAACGGTTCGTTCAGATTCTGTGTTTGCCCTGACCCGCTATCACGACGACTCATGTTGAGGGACATGCCGCCGATAAGTCAGCGACCAATTCGGATCTGATTAATTTGCATTTTCGTTCCATTGGCCTTGAACATTTATCAGTTTTGGTGTATTAGCCAGACGAGTTCCACTGAAAACATGATTGTCCGCTGGCTTGTTACTCTGATGCTCACGCCTATTAAATTTTCTACTTAAACAGAAACCTAATTAGTTGTTTCTACAGAAAGTTAGATTCTCACATTTAATGGTACATGTGAACTTCCGAGCTAACTTGTGTACTGCTGGATGCATAATTTGCGCTCCTATTTTTTCGCCTTATTTGAGTTCATTATGGTCGATAATGATTGTATTATCAGATGCGTTATCAATTTTCAGGGTTTTGGGAACATAGTTTATTTTGACTGTGAAAAATTTTGCTTTGCCGGCAAAATCTGTGCGACAGGTCGTGGGAAATACTTTTGTTTTTACTCTCCAACATTAGGTATCTTTAGTTAGAATTCGTGTACAAATTTTGGGTAGAGACAGTTCGGAATCGTGTTTTGCGACAACGTGATTGTTTGCGACCCAAGCGTTTACACTTCTGACCAAGATAATTCTTGTAAGTACAGAATAGCGCAAAATGCCATCCAACACTTTTCCAGCATGAGGTTACGCGTTTCTGCTTTTGCACTCTATGGCTCACATTTTTACCTCGAACAGACGTGCGGTAAATATGTGGTCCGCTTCTGGGTTTCGGCATTTTCATTCATCTTGGTATCGGGCTTTAAGTTAATCACTCTCTGACATTTTTCAGTAATGTCCTGTAATATAAAATGTGGTTCCTGCTCTAACTTACGAAGGATGCATTTGCGCACATCAGTACCTGCATGAGACTGAAGACTGCAAACAAATATGAGACTTTTGAACTGAACATGTGTCATCGTACCGAGTTTAAAAGCTCACAGTCTCGGTTCACTGCTTCAGAATGTGTTATAAAATCATGACTATCACGTTTGATCAACTTTTGAAAATTATAACAGATACTGAATAAAGATACTTGCTCACCGAAGATCGAGGTTGAAGTGTCCACAGTTCCATCGAAGCGGAAATCCCTTGGATACTTTTACATAACAAAATTGGTGTAGCATTCAAACTCGACTGCACCGAGTTTACACAGCAACAACGGACTTTCCGTGAAACAAACTACACCTACCAACACAGTTTTTGCACAAGTAAATATTCCCGTTCACTAACACCAATAATAAATGCTATTCAGTGCATGCTCATTTCCAATTTTCCATGTCTAAACACATCATTACGGTAATAGAAAATGTCTGTTATTCGTAATTCTTTATCAACTTTGAACATCTTATTCTGTATTTCATCAACCATACACATAGTGATGCCTTTGTCATCGCAGTTACTCTTTTTGCACTTAATCAGATTTACCAAGTTACATTTACTTGCAGCTTGCCTTCAAAGCATCACCACCAGCATGTACAACGACACACCGTGTATGCAGCGCAAACACAAATGAATCAGCCCTAGATGCATGTGGAGGGGTGCATGTTTCATCAATGGAGCCGGCACGCACTGCTTCAAAGGGGAACAAGAGCACTTTGTATTAGGTGGATTAGAGCGCCCGGAATGCGCTCCAGGCGTATGGCACGGAAGCCATGTTGGAGGGTGACACGGACATCACGCCAGTGCAACCCTTCCCCTCAAGCAAGAACCATATATTGGTGTACGAAATACAAAGTTCCCTAACAGTTAGGCAAGCGTGCGATGAATGGCAAGGCATGGAAAAGGGGCATGCATAGGGAAGACGAGATGTGCACGCTGATGGAGTGAACTTGTGAAGGCCGTTAAACGCAGTAATAAGGGGCACTTAGGAAGGGTACATGTGGATGTCAGTTGGGCATGCCGGTTAACGCCATAGTTGTAGCAATGGCTTACGGCTGACGTGTATGGCGTCATGGCTATTGCGATGATACTCACACTGAGATAGTTGATATTACGGTTACCCAAACATGTACGGGGAAACGTGACGTACAATACATAGATATGTACCCTGAAATGAGTCCCTGTAGAAAACCTTATGTCTTTGTATAGCAGCAGTAAAGCAGGACAAACTATGGGGGAAAATGCACGCGGCAAGTAGGAGTGTGACGTACGCAAGAGGATACTAACCTGTGCTATTGCAACCCGTTTCATTGACGTTGATGCCTGAAATCTGGTGAGTGGGAATGGTACTCTGGCAGGCGTGTACCGGAAGCCTCATTGCGTCAAAGATACACGTTGACGTTATTCTTCATAGGGGGGAAATGAAATGGCTTTATAAATGCAGCACGAAAAGTTGATGCACCGGTGACATATGACGTTTGAACCAATCACAAATATTCCCGATTTCGCGGGTGAGCTGCTTGAAGGCTCGTTACCCAGGAAGCGGGAACACTGAGAAATGGTTTATGGATACTTCACAAGTTACCTGAAATGGAGAGACCCGGCATTAATCAGGGTGTTTATTAGTGACTCACCTTTATGGTGTAGGGTAACTGACGGTGCGGGGTTGCTGGAACGAACCGTTAACCGCTTGCGGATCCAGGTAAATGGGGTCGTTTGAGGGAAACTTGTACACTGAAACTTTTCGTGCATCAGTGAGGTACCGCAGCCTCCCAATGTGCGGAAGGTGTTGTAATGCTTCTTCTTGCTGTTGTAACGCTTCTTCTGTAACTCTGCTCTCTGTCCAGACGACTGTCGTACTGCTGATAGCTGCCCCTTAAAACTGCGACTGTCTGACTGATCAGTCACGCGCCCAGCCAACCGACGGAATACAAAAAGCCAGAACTAGGTAGACAGAGAGACGTATTGTATGAGAGCATGGCGCAATAAATAGGTTAAGGACAACTACTAACATTATAATATTGGAGTTGCTAATTGATGTTAATTAATACAACTCAAATGGCTCATGTTCATGACCCTAATTGCCGCTGATTCCACATCGATTCTCATTTTGATCTGTACCGGATTTCGATCTCAAGTTGTAGATCGATCCGCTTCTACGCCACTGCTCTCGGCTTGATCGCTGGCTGTAAGCTTTCTCACCGTAACAGAAGGATAGCAGGGTAAGTGAAACGAATGAGGCATGAGGATAAATGTATGGCGTACGCAATGGAGATAAAAGTACCTCGGTAAGCATCTGATAGCATGACATGGCAGGGCTGGTGAAGGCGGAGGCGATACGTTGGAGGAGGATCAGTGGCGCCGTTAACTGGGAAGTCAATGGGCGGCGCACATAATTGTGGCTCTTAAAGAGAAGTTATCATATAAAACCCATGTTACCTGCGAATAGGTGTCAATGATGTATCACATGGCCGCTGCTGTACGTGGGGGAGACTTGGTGCCATGGTGCAGTAAGGAAGTGGGGAAGTGCAGAAGAAGGACCTGGGGTGATGTAATGCGAAAGCGCCAAGGCTAAGATTTTGCAGCACGGGTAAGCGGAGAATGCACTGCAGCACTCACCATCAATCTTTGGCTAGTGCGCGTGCTGTTACTTATCAAACTTGAAGATGCCTAACGGCAAATGGGAGACCTGGTGTTAGTGAAGCTATACGTGACGAGCATTGACAGCCTTCCACAACTTATCAAAACGCTTAGAGCGTTAGGCTGATCACTTTAACAAGCAATTGAATCGGTCGGAATGGTTACATTTCTCGCCAACCACTGATCGCACTGCTTCGTGGGCTGTCCCTTTGCATTCACCCTCTCGCTCAGAAGTCCAAAGTGAAAGGAAACTGCGGAACTGCCATGTTCACAATAGGTTACTGACCTGTGGTATCGCGAGGTGTTTCCTTGACGTCCATGTCCCCACTCTGGTAAATGCGAATGTAACTCACGCGAGCGTGCACCACAAGCGTCACCGCATGATAGAGACACGGTGGCGTTATCCTTCACAATGGCCCAATGCAATGGTGTATTAAACCGCCCGACGGAAAGCTGAGGCACCGGTGACGTATGATGTTTAAACCATTCACAAATATTCCCGACCAGGCGGGTGAGCTGGTTAATGGCTCGTTACCCACGAAGCGAGAACACTGAGAAATGGTTCGCGGATCCATCAAACACGTGTCGGTACATTTCCGTGGAACATCATCACGGGGTACTTGCAATGGAGGGACGCACGAAGTGTAGTTTCGTGTCGTGCATAAAATTTAATGTTCCGACGATTACGATTACGTACCATATCTATGGAATGGAAGGCGATCACCGCAAAGGCAATGGGAGGGGCGTTACCGTGGCTGTGAAAGATAAGTAAACATAGAAGACCGATGTCACGTGCGGTTAGCTTTCCATGACTCATCAAATGGCGGAGGCGATACATGGGAGGTGGCACAGTGGCTGTAGAAAGTTGGAAGGTAGTTGGCGGCGCATTTCACTTTCCCTGTTAAACAAAAGTTATCATGGAAAACAAACCTTACCTGTGCCTACGTATGAACGATTCATGAAATGGTGGAGGCGATACGTGGGAGGTGGCTCAGCGGCAGTGATACGTTGAAAGGCAGTGCTCCGCGCACATCACTGCGTCTCTGAAACAGAAGTCATCATGGAAAACAAACCGCGTCTGTGACTACGTATGCAGCGGGCATGAGATGGCGGAGGCCATACCTGGGAGGTGGCTGACTGCCGGTGTTACGTCGGAAGGCTATGTGTGCCGCATATCACAGAGGCTCTGAAAGGGAAACTATGTTTCAAATAGAAAATCGAAACTTGAGAATGTGTGGAAAGGAGACATCACATGGAGGAGGCATCACCTGTGAGGAGGCTCTGTGGCGTGTTGCAGTATCACGGCAATTTGCGAGGAACGTCGCCCTGGTTCTGAGAGGTCAAGGTGGATAAGCAACGCAACCAACCCCTACCTATCATGCAACCATGATATTGCCTCGGAGGTACATTGGAACTGATTCCCTGCCGGGAAAGTTTGGCTGTGGAAATTAGAGCCCGATGATGCGGACCTAAATCATGGTTTAGTAGGGGAAATTAGAAACGTACCGACGCATAATGGTACGGCGAAGCGCGGCTCTCACAGCACGCTGCTCACTTCTCATTCACACGTATTTCCGTCTACGGGAAGCTGCAATGCTGTCTGCCATAACAACAAAGGGGGTAATGGAAGGGAATGAAAATTAGGTATACCTGAAGCGCCTGCCATGCAACGCCGCTTCCGTAGGTTATACAGACAATAAGACGGGCAAGAAAAGCAAACGAATTACTCGTCACCAGCATAACACACAGGACGTATCATCATCATCATCATACACGTTAGCTAGAGGTGGGGAACACCTCAGCTACTGTGCCGCAATTCACAGAAAAAAGGAGAGAGAGAAAAGAAAGAATTCAACTGGGGCAAGCCGGCTGAGCTACCGGTAACGGATGGGCATCTTTCCGGTAAGCTACCAGCCGGTTACTATGCATCAAAAATTGCTATGCAAAATTATATAAGGTTAAATAATGAGATCGTGGTTGGAGGGGGAGACTAAGAGGGATGGGGTGGGACAAAGAATCTCACAGCGCGAACGCCAATTAGGTCAGCTCCTAGCCATATCAGCATGTGTGTCCAACCAAAATTGTGCATCATCTTTCGACCCCAACCAGGGAGCCGAGACGCTCCAACCCAGGCCAGCTCAGAAGTGAGGGCCTTCATTCCTCTCGCCAAGTCGTCACTTGGCCACCTCTCCTTTTCTTGCATCCACACCCCCGGCGCGCAAACAACGCACGTCGCGGGAGTCGATGGGCTGGAACGCGTAACACGTGGCCGAGTCATCGGAGCCTGGTGCGTAAAATGACGGTGCTGAGCGGTTCATTTCCTTTTCCTGTGCCGTAAACAAGGTGTCCAACCCGCTCGTTACTTACACGGTGTTCCCACCAGATGTGAGCTAAATTACGAAGGCACCGGTGGTCGAACGTAACTAGCCTCTTCAGGTCCGCTGCTTTAAGCGTCCAGGTTTCACAACCGTACAGTAGATTTGAAAGTACCGCTGCGTTGTACACTCTACCCTTCAGAGCAAGAGTGATGTCGCGCCAACGCCATAAGTAAATAAATAAATAAAAATTTTATTCTCGACTATGCGAGACACGCTCATGGAGACATGATCAGGTATGTGCAACTGTACCGACATTTTATGGTAACTGGAACAGTGACAGTTGCAAATTGTTCATATAAATAAATAAATGAATAGTTTATTCCCAAACTCATGGGGACACACCAAATCAGGCGTGATCAAGGTCTAAAAGCAGTCTTGTATCACGACGATACTTCGGGTTCAATCGTGTGTAGTTGAAACGGTCAGGGCACTATAAGTGCAATGAAGCGGTGCTTGTAGACAGAGAGTAACCTATTCTTGCATGTGTCGGTAAGAGTTGAAATATGAGTCTAGTCGACTTACCAGTATGTAGTTGTGGGCAGTGGCTTTATTCAGTGGCTAGTCACATCCACCACGTTGCAGTGTTGTTGAACAGACATTTGTGGCTTTTTATATGGTGATCACTTGCCAGGCGAAAACCCACCACGTCCTGCAACACTGCAGTATGTTCTGAGTGCAACTGAGTGACAGCTGCTTCAAGTGGACAGTTGATACATCGATCTTTCTTTTGTGCTGCTCAATGTAAGTACAAAGAAAGTTGACTGTTTCTAGAAGTGGGACATTTGTGAACAGAGATACGACGTCCAGAGAAAACATTCGATAGCCTAATATGTTCATAGTTTTAACGTTTTCCACAAATTGGAAAGTGTCCTTAAGTTGATTAGTGGCTGTGATTTTGTTAATAGGATTCAAAATAGACGTTAACCATTTTCTGATGCTGTGATGTGACGTCACTTTGGACATTTTTATTTAGGATTGTTATTTTCTCACGGTAACTGCTTGTCGATGGAAAATACATTACCATTGGTGCAGTTATTTGTTTCATTTTTGATTCATGTAACTGAACCTGATGGATAAACTTCAATTTGGAGCTGTTTTAATGTATGTCCATAAGACCCCCTGGAAAACGTTCACCAGTTCATGTAGCATAGTAATCTTGCACAAGTCGGAACAGAAGTCCGTCGATCGTTCAAAAAAAACCTTTCTGACGGATAGGACACTTATATGCAACTCTTTGAGGGACACAGCTTGGAGAGCTTACAATGACTCCCCGAATTCTTATACTTTGACAGCATAATTGGCATCTGTTAACTTTGAGTCAAACTGATCCGCGAAAACAAGGGGACGCATCAGCAGGTGTTAAATAACCGAACCTGCACGCATCGGGACCTATTAGACACGCAGGCCTTTGCAAGTTGCAGCGTGAAATCCCATTATTGGCCAAGAGTGACGTGTGCACGCGATCAGTAATAGAAACAGCTTATCTCCTGCCGTTCAATTACTGACGCAAGATTTAGGGGGCAACAAGCCCGAATATTATATAGGACAAAAAGTTGCATGTATATATACACACAGTGTTTTTCGCATAGTTTGAGTATGCGGAAAGTAAATGTGGCATTTACTTATCTGTGTAAGCTACAGTTTATTGAACGTAAATTTACACACCTTTTAGCTACTTTTCAATTTAGCACGTTGCGAAAAATCATAAAGCTGCGAAAAATTAACGGTGGCTCATATGTCATTTGAGCGTGTTTTATTCAAAGTTAGCACTAGGTTTATCGTTAAAATACTGAGTTGGAAACATTGAATATTAATAATTTGTAACAGACGGATGTGTTCACAATGATGGCCTTTGCCCCGGTCTACTATATATATACATGTATAAATTAATGAGAAAATTATCCTGAAAGCAACATTTAAATTAGGCATGAGCAAAGCGCAAAACTAGCTGCAAAACAGGCATTCAAACGGCAACGATTTGCTTTTATAGCTTTTGCGTTCACGTGCTATTTAAGGCAGTCACGTTTTATGCTCCGACACTTGTTCGCCTTCATGTGTATGTCCCATGGTCTCCCGTCTTCACGCCTACCAAATTTACCATCTGCTGAAGCGAAACTGCGGGCTCGTCATAATTTGGAATTTGTCAGATTGCAGAGGAAATACTGGGACAATAGAAGTAACACCAACATTTCTTTCCAATACCTTTCATATCAACCATGCAAAAATTGCAGTGTTATTTGGTTCATAAGTTCTCGTTAAACCATGGGAATTCCAAGTAAAAGGCTTTAGTGTTGCCCTTTAGTCCAGCCAAGAAGCATTTCCTCACAATGATAACACACAATGTGAGGTGCATATTTTTGTCTTGGTGCCCAAAGGGTTAGTAAAACCGTGGTTCGTAAACGCACCGCACAAGCGAATATATATTTACTTTTGTCGAACGAGACTATAACATCCGCATACATAGCAAAACGCATCAGGTTCATTTGCACATTTATGTCATCATAATGATTAATGAGCATATTTGAAAATAGGAGATTAGTAAGCCATATTCTATTCAAGTATAACATCGAATTAAACGAAAACTAGAACCTCAGAGAAAAAGGC